GGCCGCCCCTTACCAGGGGCCGCCCCAAGCATGTGCTTGGTTGCGTGGTGCCTGGAGCCGGCCCTGTGTATTATACACCGACGATGCTTGAACATTGCGTCATTGTCTCTGACACTTGAATGCCAGGTGCATCTTAAGCCTTCACCAAAACACTATATAGCTCATAGCTAAAGAGTGCTAAATTCCAAGTTCTGAGAGGAAAAATAACCAATTATAAAAAGAAAAATAACTGGCAAATTTGCAGTTGTGACCTGTTAAATATTTGGCATCTTTTTTGCACGTGCCAGTAGGTCAGATCAACAGCCACAGAAGCTCATAGTCTGATCCTTTTCCCAGATGAGGGCTGTTTCCATCTTTTATTCTCACTCATGTGACACAGGGGAGTATGGGGCATGGACAAATATACAGCAAGTAACCATATAAAACAATGATTGGATATTCACAGAAATGAGGGCTGCAGGAGATCAACATTTTGTCTTTCTGATCTTACCCCAACTACCTCCAATGGCCAAATTTCAATGTACAGAGTCTGCAGCCAGTCATGGTTGTGCTGCTCGGAAAGGGAATCTGCGGGTCTGCCAGAGAGTTGAATACAAGGACAGTTTCATAAGGAAAACCTATTTTTGTCAGTTTCCTATTGGGTGAAACCAAAGTAATGGAGCATTGCTGGGAGATGTTGAACCCTGATTTGGATGTTTACATTCGGCAGGGCCAACGAGAAGAGAGGAGGAAATTACCGGGGCCCGGCAGTCCGGAAGGGAGCCCGGGGCCCGGCTTCCCCCCCCCCCTCTCTGTTTAGCCGGTCCGCCCTTACTGGGGGGCCCGAAAATTTTTTTTCACCGGGGCCCAAACCCACTCTCGGCGGCCCTGATATTAGGATAGAGAGAAACAGGGTTGTTAAAGCCCTAAGTAACCTCAGAGTGTACAAAAAAGAATTGTGGCCCCTTTGCCCACTCAGTATTGTGTGTGTTCATTCTGAATAGAAGAAGATCAAGTCCTAAGGTCTTTCTCTGTAAATCTCAGTTGATGATTACCTTTGTCCTTGAATGTGACTTTTACAAAATGCGGACAAAGAGTTACACCTTTGTCATAAAAATTCCATCATCTCTAAAAAACAAAACACACAACTCTCCCGTCCCATATTACAAACTCCACCATGTTTAGATGCTCTATCGTACATTTCAGTGGCATAATGGACTGGGGCGTAGGTGGTCAGGCCTAGCGGTTACAGCTGGACTCAGGTCTGCCCACCATGGGCGCTAGCTGCCAGGCAGGAGCTGGGGGAATCGCAAGAGCCAGGTTCTGTAAACAAGAGTCAGGCTGGGATTGAAGACCGAAGATCAGAAGCAGTCCCAGGCTAGAATTGAGAGGCAGGAGTCAGGGTCAGGCTGGAATCGAAGACCAGAAATTAGGAGATCAAGCAAAGTCTGGTGTGGCAGCGGGACAAAGTCTATGTGCTTGCCCAGACAACTTCCTGGGGCAACGCCTGAAGCTAAACAGGGCGCTTGGCCACTCAGAGGGCCACAGAGTACCGTCACTCTGGGTCTCTTGGGCAGTACATCCTGCAGTGCCTACTCTGCATATTGCTCTCTGGGTGTATCATTGCTTGCCCTCCTGGTGGCACTGTAGGACTATCAGTGGTTCTGAGCTTTGTAAAGCTGTGTTCTATTCCCTGGGTTCTACCTTATTATTTGATTAGCAAATTTCTGAATTTCAAAGAAAATGCTAGATAGCTATTTTAAATTATAGACTTCCTAGTACTGGATTACAATCAGGCAAAAAGCCTTTTTCCCTTTGTAAGGACTGAAGAATTTTTTTTAATGCATTTATTTTGTAGCCAGTATCAGGCGGAGTGCCCTAGTGGTCTGTTCTGAGGCCAGTTTTGTTCAACATCTTCATTAATGATCTGGATGATGGGATGGTTTGCACCCTCAGCAAGTTTGCAGATGACACTAAGCTGGGGGAAGAGGTAGACACGCTGGAGGGTAGGGATAAAGTCCAGAGTGACCTAGACAAATTGGAGGATTGGGCTAAAAGAACTCTGGTTCAACAAGGACAAGTGCAGAGTCCTGCAGTTAGGATGGAAGAATCCCATGCACTGTTACAGGCTGGGGACTGACTGCTAAGTGGCAGTTCTGCAGAAAAGGACCTGGAGATTATAGTGGACAAGAAGCTGGATATGAGTCAACAGTGTGCCCTTGTTGCCAAGGAGGCTAACGGCATATTGGGCAGCATAATAGGAGCATTGCCAGCAGATCGAGGGAAGTGATTATTCCTCTTTATTTGGCACTGGTGAAACCACATCTGGAGTATTGCGTCCAGTTTTGGGCCCCCCACTACAGGATGTGGACAAATTGGAGAGAGTCCAGTGGAGGGCAATGAAAATGATTAGGGGGCTGGAGCACATGACTTATGAGGAGAGGCTGAGGGAACTGGGCTTATTTAGTCTGCAGAAGAGAAAAGTGAGGGGAGATTTGATAGCAGCCTTCAACTACTTGAAGGAGGGGTCCAAAGAAGATTGAGTTTGTCTGTTCTCAGTTGTGGCAGATAACAGAACAAGGAGCAATGGTCTCAAGTTGAAGTGGGGAAGGTCTAGGTTGGCTATTAGGAAAAACTATTTCACTAGGAGGGTGGTGAAGCACTGGAATGGATTACCTAGGGAGGTGTGGAAGCTCCATCCTTAAAGGTTTTTAAGGCCCGGCTTGACAAAGCCCTGGCTGGGATGATCAACACCAACTACATCCTGCTTTGAGCAGGGGGTTGGACTAGATGACCTCCTGAGGTCTCTTCCAACCCTGATATTCTATGATTTTAGTCTCCACTCCTATTCCAAAATTCAGTAATCTAAATTTAATCAATGAATTTATTTAATAATATGATTCTGTTAGTAGCTTGCTAACTGAAACACTCCACTAAACATTTTGGAACTAATTAAATGGAATGTTCGTAAAAACAAGTTGATATTGGTTTTCAGTACAGTGAGAACTACGCAATAGTGCTATGTGAGACGGCAGAATTTTAAAACAGGATACAAGTTAGCAATAGAAGTGAAGTGTGTTATTAATACAATGACTCCTTTTCCACTTTACTGTTCAAGCAATCAAAAGATGCAGCCTTTTTCACTCTCAGAAACACATCATCAATTCAAAATATGATGACCAAAAGTATCAAACCTAAATCCATATTTAGTCACCCAAATAAAAGAGATGCTTAAATATGGACTTAGGCCCCTGACTTTAGGAAATCAGATTTGGAAGTGTTGGCCTATATGAAATATTGCCGTTAAGTCTATTCTGCAGTCATGTGAACTAATTCTCAATAAGGCACAGAACAATCCTACATTTTTCCTTGGATTGGAAACTGTTTTGTGAAAGCAGAAGAGAAAACTGCAAAATATTCTACTTGCACTGAGATGGACACTTAGCAAAGACAAGGGGATATAGGTCCTGATCCAACGCATGTACTTAACCTTACACCCACGAGTGACCCCACCGAAGTCAATGGGACTATTCATGTGCTTAAATTTTAAGCATGTGCTAAAGTACCTTGTTGGGTCAGGGCCTTAAAGCTGCCATGAAGGAGAAACTGGGAACTGCCCCGTCATAAGTGACTGCGTTTAGGGCCAGGCTAGGAAACTCTATGTTCCTGGAGCCCTATAGGGCCTGTGTAGCTGGTTCTATGCCACCTGCTCCTGCCCTGCTATGTCGATGGATGGTGTATTCATGTCTCCTGAGAATGAGGAGAGGTGAGGAGCACTGCAGCTATCCTTGGAAGATCCTTTGGCTTCTCCAGTTTGCAGCAGAGACTGAACCCGGATTGTAACATCTCCTCAAGCCCCAAATGTCTCATGCAGAACTCTGGTGCAACTGAAGACTAGCCCATAAAGTTTGAGCACTTCATTTGCAAAGGCAAGAGGCTCTGCAATCTTGCCTTTCATTTTCTCAGCTCGTTCAATATGGTTTTCAATGCACGTGCAAGAGAGGAAGGGAGAGACAGATAAGAGAAGGGAGATTAAGAAGAAGATTTAGATTTCCTGTTTTCTGGTCACAAAGATTTAAACACGTTTTAGTTAGCCCACTTTTTACCCACTGCAGGAAAAGAAACTTCTGAGAGCCACCTCCTGCTTCTCACTGCTGCTAATATATCTGCTTGGAGGGCATTCTATAAAAACAGCAGAATATGTATGCAGCCCCATCAAACTAGCAACTTGCTATGTATTTTGACTCTCTGGTGCCCAGATAGAAAATGCACAGATGCATGAGCACGGAAGCTAGGTAATAACTCCTCCAGCTCACAAAATGTCTATGAGCAGCTCACAATGTACCCTGTTTTGTTGTTCACATTTCCACTATGTTTTAGCTCGGTGTTGTCTTCATGAAAATATCTGATCTGTTCCTTTGCTGTAATCTTTTCCCCTCCTGAACAGGTCTTTGTTAGGGGCCTCACAGTCAACGCAGTGCGAGGATTCCCGATGAGTGCAGCCATGTTTCTTGGATATGAACTTTCACGCAAAGCACTAAGAGGAGACCAAGCTGCGACCAATCCTTAACATCCAGGTCAGCTTCACAAAGATCTTTATTGATTTCACAGCTGCCAACGCTATTAAAAATAGAGACCTCATCACTGAAATCAGAGGAAGTTGTGGTTGCCCAGAACTTCTGAAAACCCTCTATCAAAGGTACTTACGTGGCCCCCTCCCCGTAGTATCTGAGCCTTTCACAGTCTTGTATGTGTTTATCCTCACGACACCCCTGTGAGGTAGGGAAGGGCTATTTCCCCCATTTAACAGATGAAGAATTGATGTGTAGAGAGGCTAAGTGACATTCCTAGGGTCACACAGCAGCAGCTTGGGATAGCCTGAGTACAAACCTGCCCTGACCCCGTGAGCCTCTGCCCATGCTAATCCTGGCTACACTGCTATTTTTAGCATGCTAGCTTCAGTAGAGCTAGCGAGGGCCTGTCTACCCATGCTGGGAAGGACCCTCCCAACTGCAGTCTAGACGTACCCCAAGATGCCTAAATATGGATTTAGGTACCTAACTTTAGCCATCCAGCATTGAAAGCCTTGGCCTAAGTGACAGTCTAGTGCAGTGGTTCTCAAACTAGGGCCGCCGCTTGTTCAGGGAAAGCCCCTGGTGGGCCGGGCTGGTTTGTTTACCTGCCGCGTCTGCAGGTTCGGCCAATCGCGGCTCCCACTGCCCGTCTTCGCTGCTCCAGGCCAATGGGGGGCAGCAGGAAGGGTGGCTAGCACGTCCCTCGGCCCATGCCACTTCCTGCAGGGTCCCTCTACCACAAGGCCTAAGGAGGAGTAGAAGCAAGGCCAAAGTCTCACCCCACCTGAGGACCAGCCAGGCTGGGAGGTGGCTATCTGGGCTAGGATGCTCATGTGCTGCCTGCTCTTGGGCCTAGCATTTGCTACTGCTGAGATTAACCAGAATAGTCAGTTTTCCATAAATGAGTAACAAAATACATCCAGTGCACGCACCCTCTGAGCAGAAGTCCTTACATCACTGATTACATTCAAAGGATCATTCTCTCCGCATTACCGACTTTTAAACACATCATTCTCATCCAAGGACGCAATATTGCATGAGCCCATTGGGATGACGGTTGGGAATATCATTTCCTTTTCAATGCAAACTAAATTATATGTCATGTATTTGCCTATTCTGTATAAAATGGAACATGAATGAATTAAAATGGAAAGCCATGGGGAGATTTGCTATGAACTGTGTATCTGAATTGTTCTGCCCTGCATGGCATCTGTGCCTTCAACAGCCAGACTTTGGTTTTATTTGCTAAAATTTTGGAAAGAGAAGAATAGGCCAATACGCTCCCCTTCTCTTCCCAGCACAGAGCAAAGGAGCACAGAAGACTTAGAAACTAGACCCATTATCCTGCACCATTAAGTCAATGGGAGCTTTACTATTGGCTTCAATGAGCACAGGATCAAGCCCCAGCAGAGGAAAGGGGGAAGAACCAGCAGAACGTGCTGCCTGCTGTCCCCATGTCTGAGCATGCCCATCTCTACCAGAACAAGAACGTCTCCACCATCAGTCTAGTCCCGGATCCATGTGGCTGGGGCCACTCTTACTGCTGGATCCCAATAAAACCTTCACATGTGTTTGCCCTGCAAGATTTCCCTATTGTCTCCTTTATTTCACCCTCCAAGGCTCAGTAACTGGCCAGCCCTGTAGTGCCATTTCAGCCAGCTCCTATCCCCAGCGTTCTCCCAGTACTACTCCAGGATTGGACACAGAAGATCAGCCCCTGTTTGAGAAACACTGGCCTAAATATTAACTCAAAGCTGGAAGCTGCAGGAGGGCACCAAAAATTGCACTTTCACGCAGCTTACACATTAACGTGATTTAGCTCTGACACGTGGTATTGCAGAGAGCAATGAAGACGATCTGCCTTTAACTCTTTATTTCTAGGGACATTTTTTTTTATGGAAAGATGAAAATATAGATCAAAATAAACAGAACAAAAGCAAACAATTATTCACCTAGCTATATAGAGAATTTACATCACATGAAACAATTTGTAAAATGTACTGAATGTATCTAGATATTCCATTTCATCCTATAGAGTAGATGTGTGTATCTACTGATTATTTTTTGTGTAAAAATGTGAATAGCTGTGTTAGAAATGACGTAGGAACATGCCTCAGGTCCAGTGCATTATAAAACTTAATTTTGTGGGCTAAGAAATACAAGCAGAGCAAGGCTGCTTGACACCTGCAATGTTATTACATCTGTTCACTGTGCCTTAGGGTTTCTTTTAATGCATGATATCACTTAAGGACCTGATTCTGCCACCCTTCTTCATGCTGAGTAGGTGAGTAATCCCATTTGAATAGGGTTGCCAGGCATCTGGTTTTCAATCAGAATGCCCCATCGAAAAGGGACTGTGGCGGCTCTGGTCGGCACTGCTGACTGGGCTATTAAAAATCCGGTCAGTGGCACAGCAGGGGCCCAGGGCTAAGGCAGGACCCCTGCCTGCCCTAGCTCTGTGCGGCTCCTGGAAGTGGCCACCAGGTCCCTGCGGCCCCTAGGTGCATGGGCAGCCAGGGAGGCGCCGTGCACTGCCTGCCCCAGTGCCGGCTCTGCAGCTCCCATTGGCCAGGAACCACAACCAGTGGGAGCTGTGGGGGCGGCACCTGCAGGCTGTGAGGGCAGCGCTTGGAGCCTCTCTGGCCGCCCATGTGCCTAGGGGCTGCAGGGACATGGCAACCACTTCCTGGGAGCTGCAGTAACTGCCACTGGGACCCTGAAACCCCTCCCACATGCCTGTCTCAGCCTGGAGTCCCCTCCTGCACCACATGCTCCCACACCCACCACAACCCCCTGCCCCAGCCCTGAGCCCCCTCCTGCATCCCAAAGCCCTCATTCCTGGCCCCACCCCAGAGCCCGCACCCCCTCCTGCACCCCAGTCCCCTGCCCCAGCCCGGTGAAAGTGAGTGAGGGTGGGAGAGAGCAAGCGACAGGGGGGAAGGAATGAGCAGGGGTAGGGCCTCAGAGAAGGGGCAGGGCCTTGGGGGAGGGGCAGGGGTGTTCAGTTTTGTGCCATTTGAAAGTTGGCAACCCTACATTTGAACTACATGTCTGAATAAGCGCATGAAGAAGTGAGCAGAAATGGGTTCTACATGTTTATGAAAGGTACATCCTGGAGCCAACTGTGCGCCTGGAAAGCAGTGCATGATGGGAAATCTCCTACAGGGCAGATGGGATGTTAAGGCTTTAGGCCTTTTAGTGTATGGATAATATTGTTCAATTAAGAAAAAACCCAGACGCAAGTGGAATAGGCACTTTTGGCTAGGACACAGGTCTACTGAGATTGCTAAGCATTTTTAAAATGTTGGGGCTATTGTAGGGGAAGGACTCAGTCCAGCAAAAACATTTAAGACCAAATTAAGCAAATGTTTATGTGCTTTGCTGGAGTGGGGTCTATGGGAGGAGAGCTGGAGGGATTTGGGAACAGACTCTCACTGTAGGATTTCCTTGTATTACAACATTTGTAAAAGTGCTAATCAATGTGTATTTTAAATCCTGTGTTCTTGTGCTTTATTCTTTTCAGTCCTCCTTGCATATACAGCACTGAGAGCAACATGGGTTTCTCACAGTTGTTTTTATTGGTGTTTTTCCATTTGGAGCAATATAAGCCAGCCTGAGATAGGTCCTGCAGTGCTTACTCAGCCCAACTCACATTAAATAGAAGCCTGCAGGAATGGGCCATAACATAGTAGCATATTACCTTAGGGGCAAAGAAGGAGGGGGAGAGAAAGTTAAATAATAAAACAGAAAAGAGAAGAGGTGGGGAAAAAAGTAAAATATTAAACAGGTGAAAGCACTGACCACATGATGGCACCATACCCTGTCGTGGGAAAAGGCAGCTTATTACAAAATAGCTGCAGGAGTTGAAACCACTCAGAACTCTGCCTGGCTTCATTCAAAATGCTGACCAGGCTTGCAGGAAACAGGTCTGATCAAAACGTGTCCCAGTTTGACAGAATCATTTGCAGGCACTGGACAAATCTTTTGATGAGCTTAGCTTGAGTTTAACAAAACCATAAACTAAGCAAAACACCGCAGTGTTGTTTCATGACACTTTCACGCAGATTTGCTGCTCGGACTTCTTTACAGCATTGGTGGCTCAGTGCCAGAATTCTTGTCGGCCATGCAGGTGGTCTGGCTTTGAGTCTCAGCCAAAGCATCGGTTCTGCGGTGGGCTTGATGCCGAAATTAGGGAGTGAAGTTCTACGGCTTGGTTATGGAGATCAGACTAGATAATCATAATGGTACCTGCTGGGATTCAAGTCTATGGAGACGGACTCCGAAAAGGTTTAAAACCTGTCTTCAAAGTAATAAAGAATGAAGGGCTTAAAACATGTCGTGAGTTGATTTTTTTTTAAATGGTTAAGATATTACTATTGTTATTGTAGTTGACTGAAGTAGAGAAAATGCATGATGGAAATGTTCTCACCTTCTAATTAGTCCAGTTATGGTGTCTGATGTTACAATTGGAAAGTTCTCTGGATGATAACATCTCCCAGATACTTGTTTTTCTATCTTCTCTTGACCATTTTAGGCTTTTCTGGCTGAAAGGTATGATGTGGGTGCAGCATAGGGTAGTTATAACTCTACTTGCAGATCAGCATTCACAGTAAGATCTTTTTGAAGTCTTTGTGCAGGGGCTTAAGGATGCTCATTTCATAGATTTCTGTTCCCCCACCCCCCACCCCCTGTTAAAATGAGAAAAAAATCCTTTGTTTTAGTGTGTTTTTGAACTAAAGGCCTGATCTCCCACAGATGCTAGGAGCAAGGCCAAATTGCTCCCTAATGACCTGGAAATTTAATTTAAAGACTCTGTCTTTTAAAAAGTTACTGGGAGCTGGGACAAATTGTGCCTTCCGGAGTTCGCTGGTACACATGGGGAGCAGGGCCCAGCTGTTGAGCAGGGATGCAACAGCATGCGAGGGGTTCATGAACTCCCAGCCCCTCCTTGCACTCCCACGCGGTAGCTGGATACATCTAGGACCTATGGACTTGATCCCTTTCCCAGCGAAGTCACTGGTACTACTCCCATTGACTGCAGTGGAGACTAGCCCCCAAAGTTCACCTCTAGTCATCACTCAGGACTTAGAGCGATTTTTACTTCAAGGAATGGACTTAAACTTTTGTTAAACCAAAGTCCTCTGAAACAGTCTCATAACATAGTCCATTCGTGGTGAGTTGTTGGGGTCCTGGACTGTCCTGTTTGCCAGCCAATAGGACGTCTTGCCCACTGCGCCTACATCTCTCTCTCTCTGTTACCATGTGCACCACATGACTAAGGCAGTACTCCAGACTGACCTAAGGACAGTATTTCTGGGATAACTGCTGCTGCAGGTCCAGTAGGGGCAGCGCAAGCACCGGGCCAAATCCAAAGGGAGTTTAGATACAATCTAATGTAGTGTAATTTACATTTTCTTAGAGCCATACTGCATACGTCAACTTAGACGCTTTGAGATTTCCTTATGGAAACTCACTTTAGCTCCTACCCATTACTTATTCCCTTCTTACCCAACACCTTTGAATTTGGCTCCTAGTGATTTTTATAGATCCTGTTAAAATCATAGCGATGATGGCGCTGCACCAGCCAGGGATTTCTTCCACATCTAAAGAATCCACAGCTGTTCACGTAAGCCAGCTGGATGGCCCTTTTGTTCCAAGAGAGCAGTGTAAAAACACCACAGTAAAGACCAAAAGCTGGCCCATTGTTTTCAAATTATGTAACCAAAATGAAACAGCTTCAACAACGGATTCTATAGTCTGAGGCCCTTTACATTCTTATCTCTAGCATCTTCAAGACCACCACATAAACTGATATTCCCTGTGATGAATTTAATTTACCATGTGTCTCATATTTGATCTTCTCTCCCATTACATCTTTCTGCTTTGCTTTTAAACCACAGATTATAATCTGTCAGAAATGAAGATATGAATTTTTTTTCTACAACTCGGAGTGAAATGTCATCTCCCCAATTTCTTTGAATATCCAGGTATGTTGTTTCATAGCAAACAGGACTCTGTTTAGCTAGAGAGTTATCATCTCTAACATACCCCTGATTTGAGCTAAGAACATCAAGTGACTTTTTGTAATCTTAAAGGAAAAATAAAAGTGCATTCTAGGAAAAAATAATGAACTCCGGAGTAAGAAGTGGGGGAAAAAAACTTAACTGTTAAAATTATACAGGACAGGCACACACACATGCATGCACTGCCCCCCCCCCCATCTCCCCAGAATACAAATTAAATAAATGGGTTATATGTACATTTTGAGACAATGGGGATTTTGCCCTTGTGTTCAGTGGATGCTGGATCCAAGTCTTAGAGAAAATTGTAATCAGAAGTTAAAGGAGCAAAAGACTTAGTAAGATCCACATGTCCTGCAGAATGGGAATGTCTTTTTTAATAAGAACTCAATGGTTTTTATATGTAATTTACTCTTTAAGCCAAAAAAATAAAACAAAACCCTGCAGTACAGGTGGGGTATTAAGGCTTCAGTATAGATCATCAAGTTCCTAGAGATAACATATATAGGCTCTTGAGTTATAGAGAAAAAGGCCATGCCTGGGTAACTAGCTGGACCACAACGTCCTGGTTCTGAAGAGGACCAAGAGATTTCCAATGACAGGGGCCAAGCTGAGTGTAAGAACTGGGGCTGATGAACATGAGCTTCCTAAATGAAAACTGTTTAATCCATGTAACAGATGGATCGCTCACGGCCGAGGTGCCTCCTGCTGGTCATCTTGGGATTAGCTCAACTCCAGCTCTGGAGCGCTCTCTGCTGAACGGTGTCTCGCCTGCCTCAGGCCCCGTGTCCCTCCCGGACCCCGGTGCCCTTTACCTCGGGGTTCTGCCTTCCGCAGTACCCCTACTCTGGGTCTCGCCTCCCAGGGGAACCTCCACCTTGCCTCAGTGGCTACTGCCATCCATCATCTAGCCCCCGTTCACTGGGGCAAACTGCAGTCTGAAATGGCCACTCATCACTGGCAAGAAGGCTGGACCAGCTGCCTCTGCCTATTCTCGGACTACACCTCTTTAGCCCCAGTACCTGCCTTGGGCTTTTAACAAGGCCTGCAGCCTGGGGGTTGCCAGGATGGAGCTCCCCAGCTCCTCTTGCCCTTCCCCAACACTGCTCTGCTTCTGGTACTCTTTTCTCTCAGGCAGCCAGGTCCTTCTCCCTCCAAGTCTGGAGAGAGACTTCCCAGCTCCTGGCCCCCAGCCCTCTCATCAGGGCCAGCTGGGCCCTGATTTAGTTGGCCACACCTGTAGTCAGCCACTCCCTCAGCTGCTCTCACTCCTTTGATCCCAGCCACAGCCCTCTCCAGGGCTGTTTTTAACCTCTGTTCTGCCAGAGTGGGGCAGCTCCCCCACTACAATCCTGTTTAATCACTAGTGTGATCTGGGCTCTAGGTTCAGGCATGAGAACAGCAGGTTCCACCACCACGGGACTCCTTCCTGTGACAGCAGATGCTGGCAGTGAAAATGATAAATGGAAAACCTTAGAAGATGTGAGGTTTGGTGACCCCTGCTTTGCTCTGCTTCTGGAGTCGGTTGGGAGTGAGATACTCTTGCAACAAAATACCCAGCAGAGGAGGCTAATTGCTCCGAGGGCTTCATACTTTGCAATGTCTCAAGTGTTACCAGACCTGTGACTGCTGTATAGGCAGAATGGATCACCTGCAATGTTGCTTGACCTCAGGGTCTCTGTCACTGCACTGACCTCTACTGTGCTGTTAAGTGAGACCTGGATGACTTAGATCTGAATGTATTTTGGGAATGATCTGCATAGGAACTGGAAATGCGATGGTGTCCTCACCAGTTTGTTCTCAAGGAAAACAGAATTTGCCCCCTCTTCCTCCCTCCTCCCACTTGTGAAAAGAACAGGCTTAAGCACCCCTCAAAATATATGGATTCCCTAAGGGATGCATCCCTGCTGTCGCTCCCAGAATGACACCATTCTGGGGGGTTCTTCGCTGTAGAGAGAAGTCCTGCACAGATGTTAATACTGAGTATTGACTTTTACGAGGATGCTCTGTGGAACTGGTGCAGAATGATGCACGCTCACCCATAGCCCACTTTCTCCCCATGCAGGGGTCCCTCATCCAGTGAAGAGGCTTCAGCAGAGGAAGGGAGAATGATGCTGTGGAAGTGGCATTGCTCCTTTCTGTGCCTCCTAGCAGGGCAACCCCTGTGGTTTTGACCCCTGTGCCCAGGAAGCCACAAAAGAGGAATTGTACTGTGTAGGACTGGTTAAAAAAATGTTAATGGATAGAAAATGGGGTTTTTGACTTAATGAAAATCTTCACAGAAAATATGTTTTCCTTGAAAATTTTTGAGTTTTGTCAGAACTCAAGAAATGTGGGGAAGGTCAGTTTTTCCATGAAAAGGCAAAATTTTCTGCTGCAATAAAAACACGCCTCTTTTTTCTGACCGATTCAAGTACTATTTACTTCTTTATTTATTCATAATATCTAAAGATTTAATGATCACTAGTAATTGGCTTCCGGGGCTCCAAACCCACAGAGACTATTTCAATTCTAAGGCTCTCTCCAGTGACCA